GAGAACGGAAGGTACTGAGAGTTGGGTACTGGCTGGGCCATCCCTCGGATAGCAATGCATGTGCTGGGTTATGCTTGCAAAGAGCAATCTCTTGTGTTTTCTCTACCTCAGGACAGAGTAGTTTCCCAGTACATTCTTCCCGGGCACCTGTTCCCTGTGTCTTAGTCACTGAACAAAAAATACTATCTTTTTTTCTGTTGAAATTTTAAGTGACCAACAAGGGAGTATAAGGTTGGTGAGACCAAAAAAAAGTCTTTTTTTTTTATTAAAATTTTTTTTGTTATTAAAAAAATAAGAAAATGTATTTTCTTATTTTAATTGATATCTTACAAAAGAAAGCTCTGCCACAATAAAATATGTTTTTAGAAACTGAGAATGCCGGCCACGCACAGTGGCTCACTCCTGTAATCCCAGCACTTTGGGAGGCCGAGGTGGGTGGATCCCCTTGAGGTCAGGAGTTCAAGACCAGACTGGCCAACACAGTGAAACCCTGCCTCTACTAAAAGTACAAAAATTAGTTGAGTGTGGTGGCGGGCGTCTGTAATCCCAGTTACTTGGAAGGCTGAGGCAGGAGAATCACTTGAACCGGAAAGGCAGAGGTTGCAGTGAGCTGAGATTGTGCCACTGCCCCGGGCAACAAGAGCGAAACTCCGTCTCAAAAAAAAAAAAAAAAAAAAAAAAAGGAAAGAAAGAAAGGAAAAGGAAAGAAAGTGGGAATGCCTTCCTCTCTCTCTTCACTTCCCCTGCAATGTCTACTGCTTCCTTAAAACTGCCTTATGTCCATTTGAATAGAGTAATCTATATATCAGCAGACAAATACGTCTCTCTAGGTTTTTTATAATCATGCATGTGTTAAAGTGTCAGATTTGTGTCATTCCCCTGACAGGATAACACTTCCTTGCCTGGATACCTTCAGACCCATTCCCATTTGCTGGGGCTCTCACCAACACCATTTTATAAGCAGGGAGGTGAAAAACGGGCAGTCACTTCCTGTACTTCTCCCTCCCACCTTGAACTGAAATGGGCTTGCATTTGGATGGCACCAGTACGCTAAGTATTCTCATTCACAGAATATGGGGTCCTCTGATTTAGAAGAATCACGCTACAACTTCAGAGTTCTAAAAAAAAACACTAAAACAAAAGGATTTCCTATAGTATAAAAATGCTCCTTCTCCACAGATCACTCCAGCAGTTACAAGCCAACATTAGGCAAACTTAAAAGATGTTAAACCCACTTCGTTTTTTTTAAAAACCTTCAAATTCTATGATATTTTGTTTTGTTTTCCTTTTTCCTACTCCCTCCCCTCTTTCCTTCATTTCTTCATCTGAATGTGAGCTGAGGTTTCAAATGCTTCACTTTAGTGCTGGGTCTGCAACAACGTGATGGTTTCTATTTTCATCCTTTTACTTTCAGCCATGCAGGCACTGCCAAGGATGTGCCCTTTCTGCATACTCTGGCAGCTCTTCCCTGCCTGGGTGCTTTTCCTGGCAGGCTCTGCTGGAACGCTTTCTTTAGTAAAGGAGGCAAATGCAACCAGGACACAGAGACCTTGGACACTGTTTCTCCTTCTGCCCATCTCTTTCTCCTTCTAGCCCTCCATTCAAACATCAATTGAGCACCTGCTGGTGCCAGGCCCAAGAGAGGCATGAAATGAGGCACTACGCCTGCAACAATAAAAAAACTGTCCTTGGGCCGGGCGTGGTGGCTCACACCTGTAATCCCAGCACTTTGGGAGGCTGAGGCGGGCGGATCACCTGAGGTTGGAAGTTAGAGACCAGCCTGACCAACATGGAGAAACCCCATCTCTACCAAAAATACAAAAAAATTAGCCAGGCATGGTGGCACATGCCTGTAATCCAGGCTACTCGGGAGGTTGAGGCAGGAGAATCGCTTGAACCCGGGAGGTGGAGGTTGCGGTGAGCCAAGATGGCGCCATTGCACTCCAGCCTGGGCAACAAGAGTGAAACTTGGTCTCAAATAAAGAAAAAACAAAACAAAAAACTAAAAACAAAAACCAAAAACAAACTGTCCTTGCTCTTAAGGTACTACCTTCTGTGGCCTCAGGCAAACTAGGCTCTTCTCAATTCACATGATGACATATGAGGAAACTAAGTCAGATGATTTCTCAAAAACTTTCTGTTTTAATACCTATGATTTTAAAGAGTTATTTTACGGATAATCTCCTGCTACTTATTCTACCCGGAACAATTTCTCCTCCATACATTTTAACATGCTTCTAGTCCTTTCTCTTCTATCAATTTGTATGTGTTCCAAGAATATGAAGGTATTTAAATATCAAAACAAATACTTCTTTGGTCAAATTCTTTGGTCAAATAATTGGTCAAATTCTGGTACCTTTTTGAGAGGTGACAATCTTAAAATACTCACTTTAGAAAAATCTGAGGGCATTGAGAAGAGAAAGTAAAGAACCTGTACAATTTCTTCATCTGTCAAAAATGCAAGGCTTTATTTAGGAGCTTGCATTTATTAGGAAAGGTGAAAGTGCAGGTCACGGAAAGGTTATTTCAGGAAAAGGCTCTGCTAGATGATTTCGTCACTTCAAACAGCTGCCATGATGTGTTTGCTCAAGCACAATTTGGGATATCAGATCACAAACTCAGGGAGGCCACAGATGGCAACTGGTAAAAGTAAACTACCTAAAAGACAAGGCCCTTCCTCCATGTTATGAAAGAAAAAAAATAACAAAAAATCTGGCTACTGCTTGGTGTGACCGAAAAATAAATGCATAAACAAGCCAGTAGCTGAGAGATAAAACTCACTGTGGTTTTTGGGAGAGCTGTGAGAGAAGGCATTTGACCTTTTCCAGCTCATCACCTACAGGTCGATATTTCCAATAAGTCATTTTGTAACTTGTCAATCCAAAACTGAGAGTCCAAAAAGAAGACTGCACTGTCAACCAGGCACTTGGGCCTCCAGAGGACATGGACAAAACTTCACATGTCAGTCACAGCCACCAAGAGGGGTTAAAGAGATAGAAACAGGGAAAAATGTACTGTCAGTCAGCTCATTTGACCTCTGGAACATGAGGCCTTCTTTCAAAACTTTTAATTTTAAATTTTGTGGGTACACAATAGGAGTATATATTCATGGAGTATATGAGAAAATTTGATACACGCATGGAATGTGTAATAATCACATCAGGGTAAATGGGGTATCCATCCCCTGAAGCATTTATCCTTTGTGTTACAAACAACCCAATTACAATACTCTTTTAGTTATTTTTAAAAGTACAATCAAGCAAGATTTCTTATCGAGCCATGCTACTCAAAGTGTGGCCTTCTGACACTGGCATCCCTAGAAGCTTGTTCGAAATGCAGAATCCAGGCTGGGTGTGGTGGCTCCCGCCTGGAATCCCAGCACTTTGGGAGGCTGAGGCTGGTGTGTCACTTGAGGTCAAGAGTTCGAGACCAGCCTGGCCAATATAGTGAAACCCTGTCTCTACTAAAAATACAAAAACTGGGCGCGGTGGCACACACCTGTAATCCCAGCTACTTAGAAGAGGCTGAGGCAGGAGAATTGCCTGAACCCAGGAGGTGGAGGTTGCAGTGAGCCAGGATCGTACCACTGCACTCCTGCCTGGGCAACAGAGTGAGACTATGTCTCAAAAGAAAAAAAAAAAAAAAAGGAAAAAAAAAACAAATGCAGAATCCGGAGCACAACCCAGACCCACTGAAGTGGAATCTGCATTTTAGCAACATCCCCGCATGATCTGTATGTAGGATAAAATTTGAGAGGCACAGAATGACAGGTATGAACATATAAACCACATTTTAAGCGCTTCTGGAGTTTTCTGCTTCCTATCTGTTTTTAAATATATTGAAAGTAAAATCATTTTTTTTGGCAGGGGGGACAGGGTCTCACTCTGTCACTCAGACTGGATTGCAGTGTCTCGGTTCACCACAACCTCCGCCTCCTGGGTTCAAGTGAGTCTCCTGTCTCAGCCTCCCAAGTAGCTGGGATAACAGGCATGTGCCACTACCACCTGGCTAATTTTTGTAGTTTTAGTAGAGATGGGGTTTCACCACGTTGGCCAGGCTGGTCTTGAACTCCTGACCTCAAATGATCCACCCAACTCAGCCTCCCAAAGTGCTGGGATAACAGGCGTGAGCCACTGCCCCCGGCCGAAAGTAAAATTCTTTACTCTGGCAAAAACAGTCATCTTCCAGATCTAAAATCTGCTTGTGAGGGGTGTGTGTGTGTGTGTGTATATGTGTGTGTGTGTGTGTGTGTGTGTGTGTTCCTCAGCTAAGGTAATCAGAAGCAACTTGACATTTATAATTTCCTTTTCAAACCTAGTTTACAAAGGCAAGCATTTTACAGCTGTCCCAAGTTTCTAAATTCCTTACAACTTCTTATAATTCTAATCAAATTTTATTTTTGAAAAGGGTTATTATTTACCACAGAGTTGTAACATTTTTTTTTTTTAAGACTTGTAAAATTTTTGCTCTCTACCTTTTCTGGGAAAAATTTTTTTTTCTTTATACTTAAAGTTATTAGGAGTAACGCTAACCTTTTTTTCTTAAAGAATGTCATAGATGACATGGGGGATGGTGTTCCGGTTTCCAGGTTGCAGATGTGCTGGTGACGTGCTAAATGGCCAAGAATCCACCTATGCAAATGAGGCCTGCATGTGGGAGGAGCTCAGGTGGCACAGACGCCATCAACTCATGCAGGGCCATCCTTGCCTTGAGAAAATTTCTCTTCATCAATAAATGACCAGATTCTAGTCCCACAGATTACATCATGAACTTAACGATATCTGGCAAACATGCACAGCCACTTACCCTTGACCTTGAGGGAAAAAGGACAGAGTACTTTGAGGGAAAACTTCAGATAAACCCAAAATAACAAAGTGCTTTTATGATTTTTATTACTGAAGAAGGTTTTAAGCATCCTATAAAAGTTTGGATTAAGCAAAAGAGGCAACGGGATCTGAAGCTGGATCTAGGTGGGCTCCTCTTTGAAAGTTCACTCTTACCTGATTGTCGAATCCGTTGAAGAGTTTGCTGAACCAACACCTCCGATCTGGGGACAATGATGATGAAGTCGACTTTGCTGAAGTGACCGAGGTCCAGGCTCTGGCTGCCACTGTCCGCTATAGCGCACACCTGGGATAAGAGTTTTCTGGCAACTGTTAGCTGCGGTTGATAAATTTGGAAGGTTTCGTTATCTAAATCTAAAATTTAAAAAGAAGTCATAAGAACAAGGTTAATTTACTTCCATAATGGCCACTGTGAATCTCTATGAGGACACATACCACACAGACAGTAATGTAATACACTCTCACTAAGAATTCTCACCTGCTATTTGCACTCTCTATTGAGTTTTAATAGATTTGCCTATTTTTCCTGAAACGCGGATGAGAGGATGTGCTCAGGAGTGGATGTGGCAGTTTTGCAAATGTATTATTTTAAAATTGATTGATTATCTCACAAATGCCTAATTCAATACCCTTATCCCAACCCAGAAGTGGAGGAGACAGACTACACTCTCGCAGCTGGAGCCAGCACTCATCTCTGAAAAGGGGAACATTTTCGGTTTTCTTTAGAAATATCAGCACAGGCCAGTGTCCCAGACCCGACCCAGTCCAAGGAAAGAGGAGGTGCCATAATGAACATAATGCTGAGTCCCCCTGAGCTTTTCTGGATGGCATTACAGTAAACATTTCCTCTTCAGCAAGTCAGTTGCAACATGGTCAGAAATTCCCTTCCCAGGGACTACATAACGTGGGTCATGGAGACATGACCTTCACCTTTCTTCCCACTCAACTCCACTTTGCCAGTGCTGTGACCTGGCAGGTCTAGGTGGTTGTGGCCAGCTCCAGTGCTGATGCCTGGACTATCTGAAGACACCTGACTCATGACATAGCCAGCTGGCCACTCAGCAGGTGACGTATTACAAAAACATTTCCCAGATACTCTAAGCAGGTCAGTAGCTTTTTATTGCAAGTATAATCAAGCAATCAATCTTTCTTATACATGCATGCACATCCACACACACAATGAAACAAGTTTAGTCAGCTAAACGCGCGAGCAGGCAACATCCAATGCTTCTTTAAAGCGCTGGTTATTATCAGGAACACATGTGGCAGTTTAACTGCAACAGGGCCTAATTAACCTGTGCTAATTAATGTTTTCTAAAATCAAATGCAGCCGAGGCAAAGACAGCCTGTCAACATAGCCCAGTTACCATGGACACTGACAGCAAGTGGAGATTTATACGGACGGTCTCCCTAGTGGTTGAGAGAACCCAATGGAAAAGCCCAAACATGCAACTTTAAATAGAAGCCCAAATAGTCTTTGTACCACAGACTACTAATCAAAATATGTCTTTTAATACAGCTAGGCTGTCATTTCGAAAACATCTTTAAACAAGATTTTTTAAACAGGGAACCAAGAATGTACTTGGGAATCTGTAAGTCCTCTGAGAATGTTTAAATTCTAAATGTGTTAATAATTCAAAACAGTTAACATAAACACATTTTAGACCATCTGGATGATCACTTTATTACCAAATACCATTGAGAAGTCAAAACATTTTATTGCCTGTATTTGCATTTGTTTTTACAACAGAGCTGACTGCCAAACCATGCTACTTTTATTGCCTGAGACAATCCTAATATATAAATGATACATTCCTATCAAGTGGGGGCCAAGTGGCTGTCAGCAGCAGCTTATAAGGGTCTGTCTCCTATCTATCCTTTCTCCTGTTCTTTTTTCTGTTCTGTCCTATGTCATCCCTGTCAATCAGTGAACTGGGGAAGGACTCTGAACCCAAACGAATCCAGTCTAACGATCAGACTCCTCATCCCTGACACTCCTGCTCTGAGCCCCTGAAGCTTGTTGTAGGGCAGATGGCATGTTGGTAGCACTGTTCTATCTGCCAAGAAACCCTCACTATCCCTGAGACAATGTGTGTTTTACAAGTCAGAGAGTAAGTGAAGGAGCAGGAGCTAGGGGCCCTGCACTGCCTGTAGTCTGACTCTTTCAGACAGTTTCTTGAAGTCCTCTGGGCACAGCTGGTGGAGGAAAATGGGCCAATGTCCTGGAATCTTTCAGAAAAAAAGAGAGAGTGCTTAAGATAAAGTCTCTGACTTGGATTTTCATTTCAGAAGACTTTTACTAGGAAGAAGGCCTTTGATCCAGGCCACATGGGAAAGCATTTTTAATTTGAACCAGGTTTATCATGTAGACAATCAGGAAAAGGCTGTTGTGGTCTATGACTTGAAGAATCCTCAAAACCCTTAGAATGACTTAGTTTTTACAACGTCTGTCCTAAGGACTGACTTCCGTCTTTCAGTCTGAGATGACATTACCCAGGTTTTGTGTGGGAATCATAGCAGCAGCCTCCTGGGGTGACACACATTCATTCAGGTCTCCATTGAAAGGGGTAACCACACTGTCTCCTCTTCTTTGTTGCATTTTTTCCAGCAGCTTGTCTAGGTCATCGCCTATTACAAAATAAAGTAGAGATAAGAAGGTTACGAGGGAGGATATGTTTGTTTTATTAACTGCCTGAGTTGGGCAGTCAGGCTGTTCTCAGTAGATTTGTTGGTCAGCCAGAAATGCATATCAGCATTTACACTTGGCCATCTTTATAGTATACTGGTGTCTCTATAGCAAGAACTACTCTCATTGATATAGTGCTTATAATTTACATGCTTTCACATGTTGTATCTCGACCTCCCTAATACTCAAAAGCAGGCAGAATGGGATTAGAAAACTGAGTTCCAGGCTGGGCGCAGTGGCTCATGTCTGTAATCCCAGCACTTTAGAAGGCACAGGAGGATCACTTGAGGCCAGGGGCTGGAGTCCAGTCTGGGCAACAAAGGGAGACCCAGTCTCTACAAAAAATTAAAAAATTAGCCAGGCATGGTGGTACATGCCTGTAGTTCCAGCTGCTTGGGAGGCTGAGGTGGGAGAATCGCTTGAGCCTGTGAAGCGGGGTGGTGTCAAGCAGTGAGCTATGATCATGCACTCCAGCCTGGGCGATAGAGTGAGACACTGTCAAAAAAAAAAAAAAAAAAGGAAGAAAGGAAGGAAAGGAGGGAGGGAGGAGGGAAGGAAAGAAAGGGAAGAAAGGGAAGGAAGGAACAAATGAATAAACCGAGTTCCAGGGAGAGAGAAACTCTCCCAAGGTCACTCAATGAGGTTGTGGCTGAGCTGAGACTTTTGAATCTGCTACCAATGTGCCTTCCTCTAGACCCCCTTACTGCTTCCTGTGGTGTCAGTGACAAAATACTTAAGATAAACCATTTCAAATGAAAGATCAGCTGGCCAGCTTGAGCTCCACACTCATCTTGACAAGCTAAGATTTAAATTCAGAAAATCACACAACTAGGGGCTGGCAGTGTTGCCAGATCTTACAACCACTCACCTAATGATGTGGTTTTGAAATGTGATGCCAGGAAACTGACCTTTCCTGTGATAAGCTCATAACTAATTTCTTTCAAAAACTCACTTGTGGTGAGCATGCTCTCTGCCAGAGCTCGGGACTGGTGCTGACCTGCAGGATGGAGGGGAGAAGAGAAAACTCATCAACAGAACACACGTTGCTGGAACATTACTTATAATGGCAACAACTGGAAACAATCAAAGGATATCACCATAGGGACTTAGGTTGAGAAAATTATGACACACCAAAAGGTGTGGACAATTATACAGCACTTGAAATATGAATTCTGACTCTAGACAGAAACAGAAATGTTTATAATACAGATGATCAAGAAAAAAAAATGATGTACCTTATGTTTGTAACTGAAAATATGCACA